GGAAAAATTTATAGAAGATCCACATTTGTTTAAGTTTATTTGTACTGAAGGTAAGCAAATTGTCCCTCTTTTTTGTTGTTCTCTGGAGGATAATTTGCTTCTTCCTTGGTTCAGAAGTTTTCCGGATGTAAATTGCTGCAAAACATTTCTGACGGTTATGGTTCTTTTGCCGCTTGGTTTGGTTTCCCTTTTCAGGTGATTTCAAGGTACATCTTGGTTGGATCTGTTACCCTGCATACATTTCATAGTTAAGCACCTTTGGATGCAATGCAAATGTAGATTTTAGCAGACTTGTATTGGAGTTTAGGCTAGCTAAATGAAATGCCTTTTTTTGAACCCATTAGAATAATGTCGAGAGGATTGTATTTATATGAAATACGGTCCATGGACTTTTCTGAAAGGCAGATCTCTATGCTCAAGTAGACTTGAGTGTCTAAAATGAAGCATAAAAAGGTCAATTAATCTTGGATTAAACCCATCAATCTAGTAATAGAACATATAATGGTTTGAAAGCTTCTCTATTTTATCTGGGTTTGCTATGCAAAATTTGACTTCCTTGAAATGTTGCTAATTGTGTACAAGTCATTCAGTTTTCATTTGCTTAGTCACAATTTTAAGTGTTACTTTCTTGTGGCATTGCATTGTTTTCCCTTAGTTTTGAAATTCAAAAGGCATAAAGTTGGGATTATATGCAATTTTTCTTTGCAAAAAAATAAATTTAAAAAAACTATTAAGCTATAAAATAACTCATTTGGTTGTCTTGAGGATTTACTTTGGCTTGGTTTCAGGTTAAAGAGATATACAGCTTCACTCAAGATGATTTATCCACTGAAGACGTATTAGTGCTAGACTGCCATAAAGAAATATATGTTTGGATTGGACGCCACTCAACTATCAAGTCGAAGCAAGAAGCCCTTAACTTGGGTCTGGTAAATTATAAATCTATACTCTCTCAGAGTTTATTTTCTTGAAGTATTTTTCTTTCATTGTGTCATGGATTATTTTTAGCATGAAATACTGATATCAAGATGTTATGCGCATATTTTATACTCTTCATTTCGTTCTATGCTCTTAAATTTGTATTCTTGACTGGCAGAAATTTCTTAAAACAGACATTCTGGAAGAACAACTTTCTTTGGAGACTCCTATATGTTATTACAGAAGGCCATGAACCACCATTTTTCACGTGTTTTTTTGAATGGGATCCCTTGAAGGCAAATGTAAGTGGGTCACTTACCTTAGTAAAAATAGTGTCGTGGCCAAACCATATTTTATTTAATTTCTTGTGATTGTTTTCTAATCTTTTTTTTTTGTTCTGCGTGGTTTTTTCCTTTTTATTTACTTTTGCTTCCTATCAGATAATATCCTAGTTTTTGCTATCTGTGAACTTATTGTTTAATTGAAACCCTCACGATTTAGTTACACAATTTGGCTGCAAGAACACATTTAGTTTAAAGTTTTAATTTGCTGTCTCGCAGATGCATGGCAATTCGTTTGAGCGGAAGCTTGCTACCTTGAAGGGAAAAACATCAAGTGGATCTGTAAGTCCGTGTTACTAAGCTCTATTTAGATGTATTTGTATGAGAACTAATATAGTCGGTTCATCTTGTTGGCGTTCTTTTTGACTTGGGGGCTGTTTGTTTGCCTCTTAATGGAACCATTCAGCGCTGAATGCTGAACCGTGCAGCATTCAGCGCGTTTGTTTCGCACCTCTGAATGATTCAGCAAAACAGTGTTGAATGATTCAACACAGAAGTACATTCTGAATGATTCAGCACAGAAGTACATTTTGAATGATTCAGAGCCATTATTAAACAGCATGTCACATTCAGAGCTAATTCATACAGAGTCTCTGAATCATTCAACGCTTAATCATTCAGCGTTTAATCATTCTGAAGTAAACAAACAGCCCCTTAGTGTAGTTTCTCCTACTTGTCTTTTTTATGAGTTTCTGTTGATCTGCCTGTGCTAGGACTCCTGTTTTCTGGGTCTGCATAAACAGGGAAGCAACTAAATATTGTCTCTAGTTGTTGGGCGTTTTCCATCCTGCCTATTAACAGTTTCTGTAATTCTTATCTATATTTTTTAAGAACGGGAGGGGGATAAGTCATGGGGCAGTACTTTTCTGGTTCTGTTTTGTTTGCAGTGTTTTTCCGTGGTTTGGGGTTTTTTTTTCTGCTTATGAGTTTCTGGATTGGTTGTATTTTGAATATTCTCTTCCCAGTTTTGTCTGAGTCGTCCTTCTTGTGTCATTGTTCAGGGTGCACACTTTTTCCTCCATTTAGGTCTAGGGAGGTCTTTTTTTTTTTGATAAAATAAGGCCTCATTAAAATCCCCCTTCTTATCCTACATGTTACAAACATAACATGAAGGACATTGAAAGGAGGAAAAGAGTGCCTCTAACTTTTATTAATTAGAACAATAATACACCTCCACACCTCAACAACTAACAGCTTCTTACAAAACAGAAAACCATAAATCTGAAAACATAACACACCCTGATATTCCCTAAATAAGAACAACCAAGGCATAACACCTTAACCATTACACAAACCTAAAAATCAGCCTATACCAGCTTTAGCTAATTCATCCGCATCCCAATTTGCTGCTCTCGAGATGAGTCTAGGGAGGTCTTTTAACAAGGCCCCTAGCAATGAGTAATTATTCCTATGAATAAGAATCTTCCTTTTCAAAAAAAAAAATGTTGAACGGCTTGTGCAACACCTCTTTTCCTTTGGGTAAGCTAAGATTTCATTTGTCCAAAAAAGTAGAACCTGCAACAGAAGGGTAACGGTTAAAAGCAGAACATGGGTCCTGGTAAATGTTCCAACAGTGGCTAAGACCATAATTTCTGGGATAGATGCTAATGTTTGACCAAATATCATGTTGTTTGTGGTACACTTCGTGGTGACATATCCTGATGTTATGTGCTCAAGTGACATGATATCTAATTTATTCTCCAACCTTTAAAAATGTATTGTTTCTTTGCACTCCCAACAGACCTTTAGTCTTGTGAGGCCTAGATGCAGACCTATAGGGTGGTCCAACAATATAAGGGTTATTAACAAATAGTTCTCATCGATGGCGAACCTCTCCTTTGTTTCAAGTAGAAGATACATTTTCCTTGCTAGAAACTTATGATCTGGCTACCCCGTATTCTGTACTTAATTCTTTGACAAAATATCTTTATTAAAGCTTCACGCAATTCCATTCAGGCACCAAGAAATACACTGAAACCGCACTCCAGGGATGCCACCCTGATGGTTTAAGAAGCAGATCTAGCAGTTCAAATGGATGGGAAAGAAGTTTTTCGCCAGCATCAACAATATCAGGTTCACATTTGAAGTTTTCTGACAACCACAACGTATCCAGCCCAACACCAGTTGCCAGGAAACTCTTTACTGAATCCTCTCCTTATCAAGGTTTTTATAAGATTACTGTTTCGTCTTTAAGAACCTGCCTATATTTGGTAATGCTATTACATAATTTCAAAATCTGATGGGATCAGCAGATTCAATTATTTTAGAACAGGAGAAAAATTAATGCATCTGACATTATCATAATGTTCATTGTCTGTTTTCCTAGTTTTAAGCACTCGATAAGTTGCAATCTCACTGAACTGACCAAACAAAGCTTGATTATGACTTTCAACCTATTGAATAAACTTGGAAAGTTAATTCATAGAATCTTAGTTTGAATCATGAGGAACCCGCACTAAGCGGGCTGATTTTGAGACAAACTTACATGGTTAGATTTAGGTCCGATGACTTCATTTGCAAACATATTGGGGTGCCTTGTTTTTTATCTCTTTGTTATCTTGTTACATTTTACTTCTGGTAAGCTGCCTGTGTTGTCGTTTAATATTTTTAAAAAATTAGATCACTTTTGTACTGATTCTCCAGTAGTAGAGTCAAGCTTCCCTACAACGAATGAAAACTCGAACCAGATCGATGCAACTGAGACTAGTGCGAATTTATTGATATATCCTTATCAAATATTGACAGTGTCGTCAACTGAACCAGTTTAGGCATAGATGTGACTAAAAGAGAGGTACGAGCCAAAGTTTAGAGCTTTATAATATTGCTCCAGGTGTTCAAAATGTGCCTTTTGCAATGCATATGAAATTTGTTGCATTTTCCTGTAGGCATACTTATCTGAGGAAGAGTTTGCAGAAAAATTTGGCATGCCTAAGGGAGCCTTCTATAAGCTACCTAAATGGAGACAAAACAAGCTCAAGATGACAGTCGATCTCTTTTAATCCGCAGAATAACTCCTGCCTGAGTAAGTCCTTTTATTAGATGGAATGATCCCCCCAGCTAGTTATCTTCCCAAAATTACATCTAATCTCTGGTCAGCTTAATGATCTATAATGGTCTCTGTTTATGCCTCTTCTGGAAAATCAAAGAAATAAACAGTGGTTTGCTATAGTTTTTTAAGCCATACAAGCCTGACAAGCTTGACAATTTCACTGCATTTTTTTTCTTTGAAAGTTACTCGGTTATTTCAATTAAATTACTTGAGCTTTTAGCCATTAAAAAGATAAGAGTAAATCTGATATTCTGCCTCCTTTTACTTTTACTTATTTATTTGAAATGACTAGTACAAAATATTATAATCAAAATTAAATCATTATAAAAGTGAAGAGAGTCGAATTTAATAAAAATATGTATTATTTTAAAATTCAAATGATACAGAATAAATAAACCATGGAAAAAGCCGGAGAAGATAGTCTAGTGGTAGTAAAAGATGGTTAAAAAAAAATTCTCCGTCCGGCAAGGTTCTCTATAATTTATATCGACTGATTAAAGATTTATTACATCATCACAAATGCATGACAATTTATCAATGCTTTAGCAGCATATATTAAGTGTAAACAGCAAGAGATTAAGCTTTCAGTCACCACATATCTTCTTCTTTTTCATATATGCTGCCATTATAAACTAAAAATCAGAGGCAAAACCTTATTATAAAGGAATCGAAGAAACAGAGTTTATTTATACACACTTTTTCAAATGATTTCTTTCCATGTATTAACTTGAAATTGGCCTCACTTTTCAAGCGTCGGGAACATGGATGATTGGCAATGTCGTCCTTGATTTGGGGTAGAAACACCGTCCCCCTCCACCGGCTAGGCTGAGATTCCAGATGATGGTTTGAGTCTCAGCTTCACAGTAGTTAGTTCTAACAACCGAATTTCGCAATTAGTTGGTGCTAACTAATGTCTAATGAGAAAAATAAGAGAAAAGGGTAGTTTAACTTACCGGGAGGGATCGGAGTTTTATGAACAAAGAAGCATGCAGCAATGGCAGCGTAACAAAGGCAAAGGACTATTCCTTTCATGTAATGTGAAGTTCCATCCTGATAATTTATTTATATTTATGGACATAAATTAGTACGATTTTAATGTTTCATAGAACAAACAAGGTAGGGACTAGGGAGGGAGGGGGAAAACCTGCAAAGTGAAGGCTACAACAAGGATTGTTAAGGCAAGACAAGCAGTTTCAAGAAGACTGAAATCAAGATCCATTGGGACTCTCATTATCCAACCAACCACAACGCATAAGGGAACCTGAAATCTATACATAATTAATTACCACCAAAGATAAAGTTTTTATATAATTAAAGTTGTTTTGACTTGCTGGATATCTTACAGCAAACATAGATATTTGAGTTGCAGAACCCAAAGCAACACCCAGAGATATATCCTGAAGAAATCCAATAAAATTCCACAATCAATAAAATGAAGTATGAAATTTGATTTAATGTTCAAATACGTACCAATTTATTCTTAAAAGCAAAAATAATAGCTCCAGCATGTTCAGCAGCATTCCCCACGATTGGGATCAAAATGATGCTGATAAAGCTAATAGAAATTCCCCAAGATTCTGATGCAGCCTGACAGGGTTCAATATTGTAAAAGTATGCTATGAAAAATTTATAGGCAGCGATTTATAATTAAAATGATCAACGTTTGTACCTCAATTGTGCCCACCACGTACTCAGATAACAAAGCAATGATGAGAGTCATACCCACCAACCAGCTAAATCCACTCCAAAATCCTAGCACTGCCTTTTCTTCCTCTTCTTCTTCTTCTTCTTCATCTTCCTGCACATAATTTATAAGTTTCTTCGATAAAAAAAAGACTGTTACCTCAAAGAAGGCTCTTTTATAAAGAAATTAATGTAAAAAAAAAATATGACCTGTTTAGCGTCGAAGATCTGCCTGTGAGTTTTAAGCTGGAAGATGATATATCCGATATACGCGACAAGCATAACAATACTACTTGCTCTCGACAGCTGCAGTGCAGACTCGGAAACCAAAACACCTGGCGCAGCCGCATATCTGAACAGCAGTGGCAACATGTGGCAAAGCAATCCCAGCAACAGCAGCAACGAGTTCACATCTGCCTGCTTCTGCATTTTTTTTTTCATTTCACAACTTTAACTTAATGAACCCAAACTTTCTCTTTCGCTTATCTTTTTCAAAATATATGCGTGTATGTGTTTGGCTTACTCTGTCATATCTTTGTTCCTTTTTGAGGTTGGCTAAGCCACCACAAAGGAGAGAGGAGCCAAGAACAAGGAGGAGATTTGAGAGAATGGATCCCAACAGAGAGTACTTGAGAACATGTATTTTGCTTTCGTAGAGAGCAAATAAAGCTATTATCAGTTCCGTTGCATTCCCACAAGTTGCATTCAGTAACCCTCCAACTGCAACAAATATATCAACCGACCCCATCTCCATTCTCAATAATTTATTCATTTATTTGGTAGAAATCCGAAAAAGTTACCTGTTGGACCGGTGTAGTATGCAATTTGTCTGCATTTTTTAAAAACAAAATGGGTTTTTAATATATAAGAAAAGTCAGAAATCTTGCATGTGAAAAATAAAAAGAGATCAATAACTTACTCGGTGAGGAAGCTGACACGCTCGGCAAGCGGCGCAAGTCCAAGCAAACTCAAAGCAAATATCCAATGCTGTTTGAACATATTAACTACTTACATCGAATTATGATTGCTAATAATCGTAAACATGGTTTAACTACTTACTCTCCCGAACTTGTAGAAATCAGCAGCAATGGCCAAAGGGATAGCAGGGAAGAGAACAGCAAGCTTTGTACCAAGAATCACCACCTGCACATTACCTAACAACTGTCGGATCATCTGAAACCGAACTTTCGAAACCAGCAACGGGTCGGATTTTTTCCGCAAAAGTGCAGTCGACATGTTTTGAGCTGTCCGAATCCCATTATTCCATGATTCTTTTTTCTTTGAATCTCCTCCATTCTCCATACGAGAATACTCGCCTGCAGATTCCATTGAAATACGATGTGATAAAGAATAAAGAAAGTGCGATCATAAACTTTATGTTATTTTTCTCTTCCAAGCATTAATTAATAAAGCAAAGCTTGTCAGGTTCTCCTTGTGTTTTTATGCGCACACGGGAAGCTTGGTTATAAATTTGTTTATTGACGTCGTTGAAAGAATCGAACTGTACCGTTTCATTTCCGGATGTGCAGCTTCCTCGAATTTTCAGACTTGTTTGTCTTCATTATTATTGCAGCAGATTTTAGCCTTCCACGTAGGATTATGCATGGCAAGTGCCTAGCTTCAAACAAAAAATAATAATATATGTTTAAATTTTTTAATTACTGATAATTTATATACGTTTTAAATATTTAAATTTAGGTCTTTAAGAAGAATAATATATCTTTTAACCGTTAAAATGATTCAATAAAATATATATATATATATATAAATTAATGATACGAAATGTTTAGTACATTTTTATTACAAAAAGGAGTAATAAAATCTTTTTAAAATAATAAACATCCTTAAAAAGGTATGAAATCTAAGTTGGGTCCTATTTATGAAGATGTTTATAAATGATATATCCGTCGAACCTTCCTAAATGCTGTTTTGGTAAAGCTTCCATGGCAAAAACAATGAAAACGGTTGTATGAATTTTATTTACTTGCTTCATTTCGTCAAAACAATATGATAAAATGACAACCTTAAAAGGAAAAGTGCTTATGTGCTTCCATTTTGACCCATTGGAAATTAGTTGTTGGACGAAATTTCCTCACTTTCACCTTTCCTTTCACGGCTAACTTCACCTACTTACTATTCATTATGTATGATAAAGAGGACAAATTATGAAATGATATATTAATTATAGAAAAAAATATAAATTGTTGGTAAATTTGATCAAATACAAGGTGTAGATTTGAACATGTATAAATACTATTTTTATTCCGAAAAAAGTGATTTATGTTAGTTAAATATTAGACATTATTAATAAGCTAATGTAAAAATGTGATTTTAAACACACACATATTTATATATTATTTATATATTTATGAATAAAAAATTTAAAAAATTAATCATTGTACAAAAAAGTTATCTTTCCTGACAAATAAAAAGAATTACATAATCCTGAACGAGTTTAATTTATTAAAAATATTAACTTTACTGAATATATATTTTTTTCTAAAATGAAAAATTAATTAATGTGAATTCTGTTTGCATCAAAAACCATGAAGACTTAGATAAAGAAAATAATTATGATGATAATCTTGAATGAGTTGATGATTTATTATTGTAACTAACAGGTAGTGCCCCTTATGGTTGTGGAAAAACCTTTTCTTTGGCATAGCATACTTGCTACAATATTTCGATAATTTTCCATTCTTCCTTATCCCCGTATTATTGGTATCAGAGCCAAACTCCTAGATCTATTCATTCATTTTTATAGGATTTAGGAAGAAGATAAAGCCTTCATCCTCAAAATCTATTGTTACTGTGGTTTGATTTTCCTCTAAAAACCCATGTTTATAAAAAAATATCTTTATCTGAGATCAACCACTTTGAATATGAGAAAATTCAACTTACAGAACTTCTTCTCGTAAATTCATATTATATTTATAAAAAACCTTCTTTTTCTCCTATATGAAGTATTAAGTCTTTTATCCATACACCTTTTAAAGGTGTTAAAGAGTATGTCTAGTCTTCTCGTTTTGATAAATATTTCATCACAGACGCAGTAAAAGAACAATTTTTTACACTATAAATTCCTCTTGATTTTTCAGCTAGATGGATAGAAACGGGTTATTCTCGTATTCACTTTGGTGCAATTCGTAGTTCTCAATTACCATGGCACTGAAGGAAAAACAGTAGTGGCACAGATTGCTTTATTGGATACTCGTTATCTAAAATACCAGGATGTTTGTATTGGTAATGTCGAAGGAAATGGGCCTTGTTATGATAACACTTTTCCCAAATTTTACCATAGCCCTTGCGGATCCAAACCTACTTGATGCTCTTAAAGTGTAAATTCATATTATTAGAGCCCCACAGGTGGAATCCTCAATAATTATAACTCTTAACTATCAAATATTTTACAGAATCCAAGATCATGGTTTCAGACTCAATGGATCCGGATCTGGAGATTTTTCACTACTGATCTCAGTAAATAAAGAAGAACATCCACATTGTGTCCATAAGCCTAGACAAATTTCAAGAAAATAGCTTTTACAACTATTACCTGAGAAATGGTGACAAACTATGAACAAATCCAAGAGAAACGACAACCAATCAGATCTATTAACAACAAAATTATTTCAAAAGGAGATGGTACTTCAGAAATCCGGTTTGATCACAATAATCTCCAAAATAAACCAACACCATTAATATTTCCTACATAACTGATCATGCTACCACTATGAGACCAAGAGATGCACATGATGAAGATGATCCAGATTGTTATTGTGAACTTTGCAAGCCAAGCCTAGAATCCTCTTTCATATAGAATTTCGAGGCATCTGGAAAGCCAATCTATATGTTCAAAGATCCAACAATAAGACATTGTCCATGAGACCTAGAATGTTCATGTGAACTCTGTGCTGATGATATATTTGATGCATGGATTGAAGAAAACCATCATATGTCATACTATCCTCACAAAGTCGAGAAAAAGAAGAAGAAATCCTCACACACAAACTTTTATAAGAGATACATGAAAGGAGACCCTTATATTGGGTCGCTTGGAGAAGATAATGGGAAATTCATTTTCCTTGTGGATTACTCTTCAAAAACCCAACCTACAAATCATCTGATTCTTTTTCATTAGATATTTCACTACACCCTTGATCTCCCCTATCATCACCAAAATTGACACAACACTGCTACAAAAAGATCCAAAAATGGGTCCGAAAATACCCTGAAACAAAACCATAATTATAGAACCAACCAACCTTTGTCATATGCATGTTCTAACCCTCGGATCCTTCTTATGATAAGAATTCCCTCCCCTTGAAAATTTACTGAGAAAGAATATAAGCATACACCAAAGATCCCAATGAAACTCTAAGAGACTATTTCGAGGAGAAGATCAGTGCAACAGAAGCAACTCTCAATTAGCAGACATAGAACACCCTCGCTCAAAATACCACTTTAAAGAATAATGACTCCAAGATTACTTAGATGGATGCCAAGCTCACTCTGGTGGAGTCTAAGGTGGACATAAATATTAAAATTGCCAAAGAACTTATTATGCTACTTCATAAAAGATTACAACAAGTTTCAAGAGAGACAGTTTCACCGGGACAAAATTTCTTTTTCCATTTAGAACAAAAGGAAAAAGAAACTAAAAGGTTGAAAGAACATATAAAGATGTTTAAAGAAATAGGTTAAGTTTCTACACCGCTTGGTGAAAAATAACTTTTCCCATATTTGAGAATAATCAATCTTGAAGAAGAACACGAAACAAGAGTAGAAGCTTGTGACCCGATTTATCCATCATATCTACCCATAAACATTCCGAATTTATTTAGAATGAAGCTTTATTAGAGAGTGATTTTGATATATACAACGGAAGAAATTTTCAAATATTTTTTTAAAAATTTAGAATTATGTTGTTGAGAAAATAAGGAAGCAGTTTCAACCATTCATTTATTTTTATATTTTTTATCCTTTTTCTCATAAATGAAGCTTCATTTTCCATATTTTACATATCAAAGTATGTACTTCATTTCTTCTCTTGTAAAAATATTATTAATTGAGCTTTTGTCTCCCTCATTTCTTTGGGTTATGTTGCTTTTCTTTTTTTCCCCACAATTTTGCGTCACTTATGTTATCATAAAAATATCTATTTTATTCATTTTTTTTTCAATTTGGAGTTATTATTTGATTAAGGTTAATGTTGGGGAGTGATGAAATTTTGAGTTATGGTTGAGTAAATAGTAATTGATGAATGCGATGACATAATTATATAGAGAGTGAGAGGGATTCTTGCATTGTTTAAAATTTTGATTTAAATAATATTTTATGTTTTTATCAATTTAAATTTAAAGTAAAATTAGATTTTTATCTCCTTCAATTTTTTAGATTAAACACATAATAAGTTATTATTTTGAATTGAAGATAGTTTATCCATCCAAATATTTAATCTTAACTCCGTCCTTGGATGAATGAGATAATGATGATAAGTGAGTGATACTAAATGGAGTAAATTTAAGGATTGATGATGATAGGTTGTCGGGAAAATGATGACGATAAGTTAAGTTTAGAGATTTATTTAAGGTGAATATAAAGATTAAAGATTAGACGAGAAGTTGAAGACGATGGAACGAATGTAAATTGTAGCAATAATGGACATAAACGATGATAGATGGTTTAAAGGTGGTGTGGATTTTGAATGGCTTGAAGATGTGAGAAAATTATTAACATTAAACAATAAAAGTCAACTAAGTGGATCAACAGTGTTGGGTGTTTGGGAAGATGTTTTTTTCCCCTCCAACTGAGTGTTATAAAGAATTCCTTTCACCAGAGGATCTTAAGTATCAAATCATTATTTCAACCAAACCTCCCAAAGAGTACTTTGAAGCTCAGACTAACAAAGAGGATGACAAGGTATGCTTCGAAATGAATTGAATTATACATTATTTTCATTTATACCTAGTACTTATCTTTGATTACAAATTACAAGGAATCTTCTACAGATTCCCCTAGATAGCTATCATCTCTAAATACTTGCGTAACTTTTTATGGTTCTCACAATGCATTTTATTGTATGGTGGTAGACTGATAGTGATGCAAGTGAGAACACTCAGGATGATGAAGAGACAAATGCATCTGAACCTGAGTTAAACTCTTTGTTGAGAGAGCTCAACACTCTCGTATTTGACAAGAACATTTTTAGAAAATGATAATACTTTTTCATTGCTTTCATTAATCATACACTCCTTATATAGCAATCAAGATTACAAAATCTTATCAAGATTACAAGAACTCAACTAATTATAACTGCTCTAACAAGGCTCAAAACTGATTAACAGCATTAACTGTTGCGTCTACAGAGGCTGCAGCCTGTTGCACTCGTGGCTCTACCAGCTCGTGTATGCTAGCCAT